CATTCCCTAGTTTCACCCACATCATACTTTAAACTTTCACTAGTGTCACCCACAACATACTTTAAACTTTCCCTTGTGTCACCCACATCATACTTTAAACTTTCCCTAATGCTGTCCAATTAATATCTTAGACCTTCCTTCTTTATGGCGTAGATTTTCTCGTGTCACTCACATCATACCATAGACGTCTGTGGTCGTTTTAGTATTAGTCACAGTCGATTTGTTATTTGAGAAAAACATTCAAATAATATGGATAAAATTACAATTTATCAGTCACGTGATTTCTCAGAACCGAGTTCGGTGAACTCATTTTTTTTATTTCAACCTTGTTAATACATAAAATATCACATATGTAAAAATAAAAAAAAATTACATTATTATTGTAATTGAGTAACACTGTAACAGTTTAAATATCATCTCTCGTAACAAACGCTATTACATTGCTCAAAGGTCGCCATGCGTTTCATAATGCAATCAATTTTTTTAAAAATCAGACAAAACTCGGTTTTCAGGAAAATGTTCACGACAATTTGTAAATAAAAAACGCACGCACATCAAATTTGGGAAAAAAATGATCAGAAACTGTTTTTTCTTTTGTTCTGTGAGAAAAGATCAAAGTTGTACAGAACCAAACTCGTCTAATACTAAACTCGAATTCCCTTTCAACTGTTCCTCCGTGTCAACAAGGGCGTAACCGAACATTTTAAACACATTTGCTGGACACAACTCTTGTATTCGTTTGACCTGAGTATAAGTTAATTTGTGTCGCCAAGCCTGACCGTTATTGGGTCTGTTACTGGTTTCTATCTGTATCATGTTATCTACTTGCTCTGCTGTCGTCTGCATGCCAATAAAATCGTACAATTTTGGAACCCATTTTCGTGGGCTGTCGGCTATGTCCTCGTACCGAACTAAAATATAGTTACTTTTCATCCATTTTGGCGCATTTATTTCAACCATGTAGTTCGCTTCCATCCACATGCACGATTCTTTAATCGTTCTCTCCAATGTTCCGTGAAAAAGGCTTTGATTGGTTTCGAGGTGCTGAAATAGCTCGCGTGATGACGCCATCCCACGTGGGTCGCGAACGAGGTGAATGACCTTAACGTTTTGGGTTTTAATAATATTGGCAATTTGGAAAATGTTATAAAGCCGTATGGTTTTAACCAGTATATGCTCTTTTGATTCGCAAAATCTCGTTATATCGTGTGTCGTAATAGGAGGCGGCAGGGGCAATCTAACGTACGAACGAAAAAATGATATCTTGTTCAAATAACGAACAAAATATTCGTGTTTCGAGAAATCACAGCTGTAAATTCCTTGTAAAACGGAGATGAGGTGTGGTCGCATCTTCTCCAACGCACTAAAACTGTCATCTGCTGTTTGCGTTCCCGGTAACTGGTGAGCTATCATCCACCCTGGTTCGTATGCATAAAAGAAATCCGGATGGTACCCGATATAACGCGCTGTTAGGCTCGATCCAGACCTCATTCTTGCGTGAACCAAAACTCGGATTCTTCCGTCATCAGTAACAGCCGATTCTCGGGCACCTTCGGGTGCCGGTATCCCTTGAGTGATGTTGGTTTCATTCCATGCCATGTTTCCGAGGTCTACAGAAAGTCTATCAATACGTGGCTTTGACGTGTGTCTGGGAACCATGGTAACGAACCATACAATCACTACAGTCATCAGCACGGTCCCATAGACTAGGACCCGCTCCACGAATTTCATACTGCAGTAACTTGAATTCGGTCAACATCTGACCTGAACGCATATAATCAGCATGCTTATCACAGACAGTAGAAACACATCGAATACCACAGACTACTATTAATATTTAAATTCATATTCTGGCTCAAGCTGTTACACCAACATATTATTGAACTGCGTTCATCCAAACACTGGCGACAGATGGCGCTGTCCACATAAAATGCAAATCACGAAATATAACAAACCTGATTAATTTAGGTTCTCATTTAAACTCGACTTGGCAATATCACTTTATAGTTCGGCTTAAAAAATATTGATATTAACTTTAACAGTGCTTTCGTCCATTTGATTGTTTTGGGTCTAAATTTTAAATATAATCCTTCAAACGTTATGGTGAACTTGAATTGCAAATTGGTCGCCATTTTGAATGTTGGTGATATGTCCCACACAAATATGCGATGTGAAATACTCACTGTGGGTTCGGGACTCGAGAACGGAGCATAACAATAACTACCCAAAGTGATGTAATTACCATTCGGCTAGAGGGCCCACCAAAATAGGCACCTCCATCTTAACACGTATTCCCCTCATGGGAGGTTAAGCCGTAAAATAAACCAAGCTGTTACGTGTGTCGAGTATATTAAAAGTACCTTTAAAATGAAATAAATACTGGTTAAACATTTCCTGCCAAAAAGTAAGTGCAAATATCTTAATTGCTTTTCGAGCCTGTATATATATTTAATCAAACGCACATAATATGATATTACTTTAACTTTTCGGTCTCAAATTAAAAAAAGTTATCAATATTGTTTTTAGAAACACCAAGCAAGTTTTAATATCTTTTGTGAAAAGTGAACACAAATTGACGGTGCGAGATCTTATTCGAGTATCTTGTTGAAATTTAAGTCGTAAAGCCGAGGTCATCGACCAGTAGTAATCCCAACTTCGCTCGAGAGGAAGCAGATTTAAGTGCATGTACAACATTATCGTTATGTTTGGCCAAAAAATACAATTGTTTGAAGTTTCTTTAATTAAAATCTCGCTCCATGCTGCTCATATAAAAGATGAAATAGTCGCCAACTGAAAGGATTTCATGCGAAAATAATCACTTTTGATACGGTTGCAGCGTGTCAACACGTGTGACCAGGTCGTAAATGAATTAATCCATTTCAAACCAGTGGTTCGATGTCATCAGCGTTTTATGCTTCACAACGGTTTTAACTGCCGAGATTTGTCGAGTCGGATGTCGAAAAAAGCGTCGAAACTGCAAATTTGTCGTGCTGGGAACTGACATGACGTCATAACAATACCAAGTTTATGGTTCGTAGCAGATTCACACTACGAGATTACCAACACATCACGTGACTCCAATAGAGGTAAGTGTGGTTATGCTGGAGCATTTAGTAGTTTACTTCCGTGCGGCATTTAACTGATAAATGAACGAATTTAATACTGTATTTCAACAAATCGTATAATAGAAATAATAATGTGAAACAAATGCATTGTATACAAATGCATTAAAAAAATAATTGATACAACTGGGTGTATTTTGCTGCAGCACTGATTTGATCTTTGACCCCGATTTGGCGTTGAATGAACCGTTCCTTTATATGTATATATGTGCATTCAACTACCAATTTATGCAAAATCTAAAGCGTTCGTGTCGCAAATTATCGCCAAATGTCATTTTTTTCTCCACGGGAGAGAAAATAAATGAACTGGTAAATGTAAACTGCGTCGGCGATCATTTGTTTCCAATTGACGATGATGATAGTACGCGAATAAGATTACCTCAATGACAGTAAGATCCATACTCGGACTGAAATTGAACACTACACTATATATAATATGTCGCTAGTTATGATTCAATCAATTTAATTCAAATCACATTGCATGTAAGCGCTGTGTCGTTTCTAAATTGCCATTATGTCAATATATAATAACCTGTTAATGGTCATGGTATCCACTAATGCGCATGCGTAGCTGAACGCGTAAATGTCACACATGAACTGAGAAAATAAACAACCGATCGACTATGTGGGAACAACGCACTCGTTTGTATGTGATCAATTTTTTGTATTTATTTTAGTGTTGATATTTGTTATGTAATTGTTATTTATGCATATGTTGCAATGCGCACATGTAGTACAAATTCCGTATTAAATTATAAATAATACCATATCCTATCAATATATATATTCGTGAATCATGAAAATCCGAGACTGACAAACAATCTACAAGTACAAAACAACCGATTGGCGAACACTGAGTTCACAAGTACATGTACATTCAAACTTGGCTGACCAGTACATTACAATAAAATATATGGGTATCATGGCACTCAGCTAGGACGTGGGATCGTGATTTTTCGAAACAAGTCAAGTTAGTCTGCTCAACTTGTGAGAATACGTGTCTCAATGAAATAGTTCATATTAAAAGCATAGTTGAGGAATCACACTACATACAGGACAAAATAAATAATTTACTCTGATAAGCGTGTCTCATTTCATGAAAGGTTGGACAAATGAACAAACATTGTATTATAACAACAAAATGTATATACACTTTTATTTCTCACTGAGAACAAATCTTGAAATGCCAGCTGGGTGAGATTAATTTGTTTTTCATTTATTTATTTATTTCATTTTCAATGGCTTTTGTTAGTTATGTCAGAAAAAATAAACATTAATATTTTGTTATCGATTCATTGTTTTTCTCAGTCATAGAATCATAGAAGAATCAATGTACGACACCGATTTTTAAAAATATTTTGGACATCACAATGCCGATTATTACGATTTGAAAAAAAAATAGGACAGAACATAGAGAAACATATTTTTGTCGGTCGGTGCTTTGAAATCGGATAGAAGTGAAACAGCTGACGATGCATCTAATTACAAACTCTGACACAGTAATGGAATTACAGTAGGGGTCCGAATGGCTCATGAACAATAGGTCATACAACATAGAATACTTTTAGTTTTGATGTAATTTCCAAAAACGATAAATTTTTTGCCGGAAATAACTGTTTTTCGAGCTAGACAGGGAAACCGGCCCAATCCAAAGGCGTGGGTGTAATTCCGAAATTTTCCCCAGACTTTATCGTCATAATTCAGATTGGAGAGTTGATGTGGGCTGTAAGTATGCCCAGGTTGTACTTTTGACTATAATACTTTTTTTTGTTTTATAATTATAATAAACCCGAGCATTGAAGCTCAGTCAGTTCCTTTCAAGTTTTGCTGTTGTTTAAGTTTACTACATATACTCAAATTCGATACGTGTGACTATAAATGTTACAGCAGGGATTTGATACTAAAATTATAGAAGTGCACTGTGTATGTGTGGAGAATTCGTCATAGACGACTTTCCCGGAAGTAGCGAGACTGGGGTGCAAAAATACTTCTGCTTTGTCATAGCTGAAAATAAAAACATGTCAATTTGCTGATAGCCGATTGAAAGGAATTTTATTTTTTATTTTTGTGACAACGATTGGTGCTCCAAGGAGCATAGTATCGCGACTGCAAGTTTACGTTACACCCCAAAATGACATGCGCGCGCATGCGAAACGCCGTATCTTCGACTACCGGGAAAGTCGTCTATTAAAGTGAAACGCAGACACGCTTCGTTCCAAGAGGGCGCAATTTACACGGAATGCGTATTACAAGAAACACCATATTAATGAATATTATAAATTAACAGTGTTCCACTTATTATGAACAAAAGAATAATAAATCTGTGCATTTGAGGGGGTCGAAAATTTATAAGATACATAACTTTGACAATCAATTGAAACTCTTCAGATATACGAAACAATTCGATTCACCATTCTCAGCACAGACTGAGAAATGAAATTCACAAAATATTTTCTTTATTTATAGAGAAATGATACGTATAAAGTGAAATCACAACAATGAAGAGACGGACTTGGAAGATGATTCTGGCGTGTATTTCAGTCTCAGTAGCACTGACATTGCGAATACGGGACAGATATCAACACATGATTCGAGAAGAGACATCGGAATGCACCGGGAGCGTAGAATGTAACCATGACGACAACCCTGTCAATATTCTCGTCTTTGCGAGGAAGCGGACTGGCTCGAAACTGACTGCCAGATATATCGCCAGTCACCCCGATGTGTTTTACGTGTACGAGCCTGGATTCATGGTGGCTGATCATTTTACGAAGATGAAGGGGAAAGAATCCAATGAATTCCTAGAGGGTATCAGGCCGAAATTGATCGATTTCTTAGATTCCATATTTCACTGCAACTTCACCAGCCATCCCTATTTTATCTGGTATTTAAATAATGTAGACATGTTTGAAAAAAGAGGAGAATATAATTTGACTCATCCTATTACTATGGAAACGATCACAGACCTTTGCGTATCAAAGAGGCATAAGCTCGTCAAAGTGATTCGACTTGATAGACTTCTGTTGACGGAACCACTCCTGAAAAGACACAACGTCAAAGTCATCCACCTCGTTCGAGACCCACGTGGCACTGCTAAATCACGAAAAGAGTTTGAAGGCAGTTTGAAGAAGTTGGCCGGGAACGAGGATCAAAGTCTTGAACGAGATGTGTTAGAGAAGGAGATTGGTGACGTGTGCAAATGGATGGAAGTTAACTACGCGGACGGAAAAGAGGGGTCAAAATGGATGAAAAAAAACTATATGTGGGTAAGATACGAAGACATCGCCGACCGTCCCTGGATGGCTGTGCCGAAAATGTACAACTTTCTCAATCTGTCTTTGCCAATCACCATAGATGAAGTCATGAATTCGAAAATGGAATTTCTTCCCAATAACGGGGAGGCCTGGAGGACGCATGCGCAGTTTAAGACGGTTAAAATGATTCAGGAAATATGCGGAACAAGCATTTTTGAAAAATTCGGCTACCAGATTGTCAACGCCTCAAGAGAGTTGGTCAGTCGTGACAATGAACTAGTAATACATATGGAACAATTATGAAATAGAATTTAAAAGTTACAAAGTTTGCTTTACCATAACGCGGTGAGATTTACTTAAAAAACAATTATATTTCTCAAAGTTAATTCATATATTAAATATGATTACTTATTTTATTACATATGAAACATTGACACTTTATTTGAAGTTGGACACAATCTCTTAAAACAGCCAGGTGTTGATTTCAATAAATCTTATTGCTGCAATAATTGGACTACCGGTACTTCAGGTAACAAGATAAGCTCTCTTTCACATTACGTTACGGTTGTATTGAGTCAGACCACAAAGCACGCCACCAAGTGTTTGTTTTCCTCTGCGAAGCTGAGAAAGGGGCAATCAATTTTAGTGATTTTCACAAAGATCTGAAGTCACACAAAAAAGTAACCTTGGTTACAGGCGTGCGTTGAGTTAAAGCTGTAAAAATGCTCCTAAAACATTCACAGAAACTATCACCAGCATTATGACATGCTAAACACCATCGAAACTGAATGTTTGGTCAATATTTCCAGCAAGTAAATGAAACTTGTTTCGTTTTACTCTTTATCTGCAAGGTTAAATTAAATGGTTTCATAACTGTCGAAACGCAGCTCACATTTCCTTTCAGTGGGTAAACAGTCCAACGTTTCGTCCATTCTACTCCGCAGTGATATGAATAAAATAAACATCAATTTAATGTCATTATAAATTCACTTTTTGCAGCCAGTCTTATGGAGAACCAGGATTGTGACTACAAGCTGCATGTATTCTTCCTCAATTAATATAGATGTGTCATATTCAACCACACATCACCACCCCCCGCCCCCCACCCCTACCCCGCCTCTGCAATGAATTGATTTTTTGAGTACCGGTATTCAGGGTGTGGTGCACGAGAAACACAAGTAATGATATCATTCTAAACTCTGTATTCCGCAACAAACACACAAATAAAAGTCTGTACAAAATAAGTTGATAGAAAGTTTATTGAACCAAAGCTCACAATGTGACAAATACACCCGGAGAAAGAAAACCACCAGGAGAAATAAAATGCTGTCTCGGTTTATATTAAAATACTAGCACACTTGATAAGAGCATGTTAGAAATGATTTTTGAAATATCAATATTTACAAATTTTCAATTTATTCCTCATTCTTAGATAGTAAAAAAATGCTGTTTTCTCTTAACACTGAGGGCGCTGTTTACAAACTAGCAGTTCACCAAATAGATTATCCCATTCTTAACACTGAGGGCACTATTTACAAAAATTGATTACTGACCTCCAAGCAAATCAAATATTCGTTACAATTTTTGCAATGGGAGTCATGTGACCTGTCCCAAACATGTAAATGTATTACTGATATTTATCTTGATAACCAAACAAGAATATAATGCATATAGCATTAGGAATAAATATTTCTCATTTTCATTCACATATATAAATCCATTCAAATGCAATATGCATATTAACGCACTTATACATGCATACTTTTATCTTTGGTGATTTAAAACTATTTTTCAACTCAACATGACCACCACCTAACCTTCTCTCTCTCCCCTGAAAGTCTACTCAAAGATTACAATTTTACAATGTAATGTACGAATGATTCTGCAGTTTCCAGCAATGTATGCGTGAAAATTGGTCTTGACAATTATTTTTAAAAACTTAATTTCTAATGGATATGCAAATTTTTATTTGTTGCTTGATGTAAAAGTAACTTGTCACAGAAATGAACTATAGCATTTCTCTATTCACCACTACTAAATTAAAATTACCGATTTTTATTTGTGAAACAAGAAATTAAACGATGCTGTTTTCTTATTGAGTAGTCATCTCAATCATCATGGATTGCATAGACAACTTAATATTTATAATCCCAGCAAGAGATATCAGAAACGTCAAAATGCTAAACGTTTTTTTTTTGCAAGTAATGCTGATGGTGTACGTGTAACTTCAATTAACTCTCATTCGGAATTGACTTTGACTGGACAGATAATCAATCAAGATAAAATCTATTGAAAATAATTCGTACACTGTGACCCTTTCATAAGCAATGAAAAAAGACTACATTTCATGAAAGTCACTACAACTCTTTGTGTAACAGAACCGCAGCAAAATCTTTGCTGCTTACAAATTAAACAATTACCAGTGAAAAATAGACATTTATAATAAAATATATTATTTGTACCAATGCATTCAGTCAGAATAAAGCAGATTACAGTACACATGTGTTTATTGTTCTGGACTGACTCAGTGAATCAGGAACATATCCATCCTCTTACAAGCGGAATCTAAAAGAGCTGAGAAACATTTGGAAACAGTTAGCACAATGACATTCAATCAAGTAAGACGGTGGACCATTACACATCTATGGGGTGGCGATGGCAGAAAAACTGTAAAATATTTGTTTTCCCCATGATGAATTACTGGTTCTCCCATACAATTTAGGCATAAATCTGTTATTGATCTTTGCAGGATTCTGTTTCAGATATTTTCTTTCTGTGCCATTTTTGCCACCCTACCCTGAGTTTCTATCCCAAAGTGATCGTGGTATAAGAATGGAGAAAACAGACATTGTAAAATGAAGGGTCACAAGGAATATAGAATTTCAAAATTTCTGTTATCAAGAACCGTTTCATTTACAGCACACTACTATCATGCATACATCATGAGGTCCTCCTCTGGGTCGAAAAAACTCTAATTGATCCATTGGTGAGTGAGAAGCAAGAGACCTGCGTCAAGCAGCTATTATATTTGACCAGTTAATACTAAAACATACTACGTTATACATAAATGTTGTAATTTATTAACTTTATTGGAAAATGAAAAAACAAAGAGTTTGTTGCCTGTGCAGAAATGCATGCACTTATTTAAAAGACTAAAGGGATGTCCGAGATCAAAATAAGATGCCTTTTAATGACCCAGTATACAATAAAAGCAATTTTTTATTTATATGCATTTCTATTGGAGATACGCTTCTAATAGAGGGAATATGGTATTAATTTCCTAGCTTTTTTTTGAAAATAATGACACTTCACAAGTATGCAAATGATGAGGGAAACAAGATGTATACATGTAAGACTCATTAATTGAGGTCTTGATTACTATCCTCAAATGACAAGCCTCCTTCCAGTGAAACAATATTACTTACAGGATGGGGGGGGGACTTTTTTTAATTGTTTTGAAACACTTGCTCTCTTGTTCTGCATGGAAAGGTAATAAATCAGATTAATTGTAAGGAAGACTTACTTGACAAAGTCAGGTGCCTTGGAGATCACATGTTCAAACTCAGCAAATGACAATGACTCGTCATCATCTAAATCAGCTTCTTCAAATATCTAAGAAGGGAAAAAAAAAAGAATGGGCATTACAGGCTGACCTGAAATATAAAATCTTTTTTGGCCAAATACATATAGTTCCAACTTATTACGTTCCTTGGCTGTATTTTCAGAATGTGACAGGGTGTGTGTGAAAGAATTCTTAATGTCATTCAGAAAAGTATAGCGATACAAAGGTATTCACATAAGTCATTGCGACTCTAACCTAACCTAATTTCACTGCTCCCTCTCAAAATTACTGGTATTTATAGTAGCTGTAGATGGCAAAAGCAGTAATTCATAAATTTCACTAGCACAATCTTTACAGAGTTTGTGGAATTCTCCAAGATTTGACTTGTTACTGTTGATGCAATGTTCTCTTCAAAGCGTTTTAGCGTAGCGAGGCCGCTACTCTATTATTTATGCCGCTACTCTGAGAGATTGCCCACTACTCTGAGAGATTGCCCGCTACTCTGTTGCATTTCCTGTTATTCTTTATTTTAGCTTATAAACACACATGCGAATCTTTTAGTCAGCGTCATCAGCGTCCGGTACTGTGAATCAAATCAGGTGTGAATGGAAACAGTGATTATGCAAAGACAATGGACTAATACAGCTTCGTACTTCAACAATAAATACTTTCGCCATATTTAATGGAGGTAATCGCAAGCATTTTCTCAGTAGCATATTCGGCTTGAAGCAGCAATGATGTCAAGCAGCAGAAACATTACGTCGTGGTTCTGCGTAGAACACCCTGCTGGGCCCCCTGGTTCCGATCGATAAACCCACCAGCAACGTGGTCGCCGGTACCCCTGTCGGCCGTGGTACTAAACGTGTCCAAGATGACGTTACAACGAAAGGTGCAAAGAAAAGAAAGTCTGGATTTTGATGGACAATAGAAAACAAAACATACGTGGTAGAGAGAAACAACGAAGGCAAAGGTAAAACAAGTATTTATTTGTAGCGTTTTACTTGGAAGCGTATTTTGACCTATTTTAGTAAACTTTTGTATGGCTTCATTTTTTTACGATCGTCGAAACATTTTTTTTGGAAACTTCTTTTTTTCTGGAAGTTCAAAAATTGTTGGCTACGATTTATCAAAATAACTAATACTAGTTTTGTGATTTGTGTAAATTTTATCATGGCAATTTTTTTAGATTTTAATAAAGTTTAGCGACTTTTCAAAATGGCGACAATTTGTTTATTTTCGTGTTGATCTTGACGATATTTTTTAAATACAAGTATTGATTCGCCCCTATTTCTTATCTTTTAGGAATGCTGTGTCACATATGTGGAAAATTCAACTTAAAATCATCCAGAAATAGTTCTTTGGTATGGAATTCTATGCCATGTATAAATATTACGAAATATGCTATAGATAAACACGCACACTCGGAGATGCACAAGAAGGCCATGTCATTAGAAGTGGGAAGCAAAGAAAATTACGGCGTTCTCAAAAGCTGCAGACCACTGGGCTTCCATGAAAGTCAGAAGAATCATCATTACATAGAATGCACACAGCAGCAGATTTTTGTAATCTTGTACATAAATTCGCTAAAAAATAAAGACACATTTTCATCCATGCAAGCCTGTTTTCTTTATCTCCATACATATGCTAATGCATATGTAAATTATATGCAAATTAGCCGCCACTATGAAACATTTTTCTGGGGAGAACACTGTGATGGTGGTGTACTTGAGGAACTCAAATCAGTTTTTGTCACATCAAAATTTCACACCTAAATCTATGTGATTTTTACAAATACAATAAATTATTCATGAAGTTAAAATTTAGCAAATACCCATAGCAACTTGCCAAACTCGAACACGAAAGTTTCCTCTAAAGAACAAAGGCGTGATGAAGTCATGTTGTCAATTTCTGTGGAAAATTCAGTGTTAGAGATATGTGACTACAATCAGTAATGTAATTCTGTCAAAAGAAATCTGAATAAAATGCTGAAAACAAAGCAGATTAAATGTTTCCTGGTCAAGAGACTGTTTGTCTTCCTAGTTGTTCAAGTGTGCATCGCACATATCTGTTAAAGCGGGAGAGTCATCACCTGCGCATGTGTCAGACGGCCATAGCGTGTCATTGTTTACAAACAAGTGTCTACCCATGAGCCTTTGCGTTTTAGCATGTGATGTTATCATCGCTTGGGACTCAATTCCCGCGCGTACACAGGTGACGAACCTCTCGCTTTAAGAATACAAGAATATTTGAATATCCAAATTCTCCTGTGGCAGAGACTGAATGAGTGCACACAGTGGATGCCTGGAGAATGAGTTACTTACATTATCAATAAGTTGTTGCATATCTTCATCTGTCAAAGACTGATCTCCAGTCAGTCTACCGACAACCTCTTTTAAATCAGCACTGTCAATAAAGTCATCTTCATTGAAGTCTGTAAAGGAAACAAAATATATACACATGAACATAACAAATAAACTGAAATCTTTCTGGACTGAACACAGAGGTCTGCTGTTTATTTTACAGAAGTCTGCTGTGGGCTTTACAGAGGTCTGCTGTGGGCTTTACAGAGGTCTGCCGTGGGCTTTACAGAAGTCTTCTGTAGGCTTTACAGAGGTCTGATGTGGGCTTTACAGAGGTCTGCTGTGGGCTTCACAGAAGTCTGCTGTGGGCTTTACAGAAGTCTGCCGTGGGCTTTACAGAGGTCTGCCGTGGGCTTTACAGAGGTCTGCCGTGGGCTTTACAGAGGTCTGCCGTGGGCTTTACAGAGGTCTGCCGTGGGCTTTACAGAGGTCTGCCGTGGGCTTTACAGAGGTCTGCTGTAGGATTTACAAAGGTCTGCTGTGGGCTTCACATAGATCTGCTGTAGGCTTTACAGTGGTCTGATGTAGACTCTACAGAGGGCTGCTGTTTATTTTACAGAAGTCTGCTGTGGGCTTTACAGAAGTATGCTGTGGGCTTTACAGAAGTCTGCTGTGGGCTTTATAGAAGTCTGCTGTGGGCTTTACAGAAGTCTGCTGTGGGCTTTACAGAGGTCTGCTGTGGGCTTTACAGAAGTCTGATGTGGGCTTTACAGAGGTCTGCTGTGGACTTTACAGAGGTCTGCTGTGGGCTTTACAGAGGTCTGCTGTGGGCTTAACAGAGGTCTGCCGTAGGCTTTACAGAGGTCTGCCGTAGGCTTTACAGAGGTCTGCCGTAGGCTTTACAGAGGTCTGCCGTAGGCTTTACAGAGGTCTGCCGTAGGCTTTACAGAGGTCTGCCGTAGGCTTTACAGAGGTCTGCCGTGGGCTTTACAGAGGTCTGATGTGGGCTTTACAGAGGTCTGCTGTAGGCTTTACAGAGGTCTGATGTGGGCTTTACAGAGGTCTGATGTGGGCTTTACAGAGGTCTGCTGTTTATTTTACAAAAGTCTGCTGTGGGCTTTACAGAGGTCTGCCGTGGGCTTTACAGAGGTCTGATGTGGGCTTTACAGAGGTCTGCTGTAGGCTTTACAGAGGTCTGATGTGGGCTTTACAGAGGTCTGATGTGGGCTTTACAGAGGTCTGCTGTTTATTTTACAAAAGTCTGCTGTGGGCTTTACAGAGGTCTGCTGTAGGCTTTACAGAGATCTGCTGTGGGCTTTACAGAGGTCTGATGTGGGCTTTACAGAGGTCGGATGTGGGCTTTACAGAGGGCTGCTGTTTATTTTACAGAAGTCTGCTGTGGGCTTTACAGAGGTCTGCTATGGGCTTTACAGAGGTCTGCCGTAGGCTTTACAGAGGTCTGCTGTGGGCTTTACAGAGATCTGATGTGGGCTTTACAGAGGTCTGATGTGGGCTTTACAGAGGTCTGCTGTAGGCTTTACAGAGGTCTGATGTGGGCTTT